GAGGGGGAGGGGGAGGGGAGGACGGGAGGACAGGGGAGGGGAGGAGGACAGGGGAGGGGACGGGAGGGGAGAAGAAGAAAGGAAGAGTCATGGGGAGGCCACAAGACCAGTCTGTGACACCAACAAGTAGATGTAACAGGGACAAAGAAAACAAAACTATTTCCCACCTCCTAGGTTCTCCTTTGCCCACAAGCAGGGGCACAAGGCTAAAAGAAACTTCTGCCTTTCCCTGGCTGGGCCAAAGCCTTCAGCTGGGCTGAGGGGGGCAGGGACAAAACATAATTTAGCCAGGCATGATGGAATAATGCCTTAGATCTCAGCACTCGGAAGCAGAGGTAGAAGGATCTCTGGGAGTTCCAGGCCAACCTGGTCTACATAGTAAGACCCTATCTCAAAGCAAACAAAAAACATAATTTGTTTGAATTACTTTAGAGAGGGGCCATTTCAATATGAGACTTAAAGAACTGTGAGACAGGGCAAGCCTACCATCTTCCTATCTTTATTTCTTTTTTTTTCTGGAATTTTTGTTTGTTTGAGACAGGGTCTCATGTAGCCCAGGCTGGCCTTGAACTCAAGAGATAGCTGAGGATGACCTTAAAGTCCAATCCTCCTGCCTCCACCTTCAGTGCTGGGATGACAGGTGTGCACCACCACACCTGGTTTATGCAGTGCTACCTATATGTTAAGCAAGTGCTCTATCAACTGAGCTACACCCTCAAACCTTAGTATTTCATTTGCTTTTCATAAGTTTCTGGTTCCAAGCTGTGTGTGGTGGCACACACCTGTAATCGCGGCAACCTTGGGAGACTGGGCTAGATAGTAAGAAACCACATAGAAACCGGCCTGGGCTACATAGTGAGTTCCAGGGAGACCTTATCTTGAACAAAAATTACTGGTTCCTATCATTTTTTATATTACTTCACTTGTAACTCATCTTCAGCACTGTGGTAATGACAGAGACACTACGATTCAAATGTCCAGTTTAGAGATGGGGTGTGGAAACCTAAATGCTCCATCATAGGGGGATTTGGTTTGAACTTTAAATGTTGAGCCACCAGTAAAGTCTGCCTATAAGGGGACTGCCAGACAATTTGGGCAATTCAGACATAAACTATAGTCATCTAGTCAGATAGTAAATGTCCAAATATGGGAATCTGGTTGTTATGTCTGTCCAGCCAAGGAGCATTCTACAAAACCAACGCAACGACAGGTGATTTGATTGAAAGTCACCAGAGCTATGCTTTGGTAGGGGTCTCGCCATAGTGGACACCCTGGTACTAAATTGGCTTAAATAACCAAAGTGCCCAACTAGAGGGGATTTGGTGGAAACTTAAACGTCCAGTCACAAGGGAAGCAATGCAACAAGTTAAATCCTCCATTTGAGACTGCTCGGGTCAATCCAAGAACGACAGTGGCCTGGTTAGATGTGGGGATCATGATTCTGCTAGATAGGGTTTGGCAGCCTTGATCCCCAAAAGTTCAAAGCTACTGGATAGCAGCTGAGTACAGCTTGGACAGAGCCTCTGCCATCAGGGATCGTGAGCGACACGGACCCCGTCTCTGGCCTCAGTTTCCCCCATCTCTGAGCCTCGATCAAACGCTAGGCCATTCCAGCCCCGCTTGGCCCCAAGCCTCCTCTCACCCACCAGGCGGTCCCGGCCCCGGTACGACTCCAGCGTGGAAGCCAGACTGTTCAGCAGCGCCATGGCAACTCCGTCGTGATGTCACCCAGGGGCGGGGTCAAGCCTTGGTCCCGGAAGGACATGAAGTCCCGCGAAGCCTGCACTCTCTGCGCAGGCGCAACTGAGGCCCTTTGTCCTAGTGCAAAGAGGAGCCTGGTTTGTAAATGGAGCGTTGCCGTGTCCTCCCCACACCCCTGGGGACCCAGAGTGACCTTCGGAGCCTGTAGCAATCAGCTGCTTAAGCAGCTGCCACCAGCAAAGTAATTCAAAATTAACTCAATTCGCGCGTTAGAAAAACCAAACATTCCAAATAAAAGCACCTGTCAGCAGTAATGCAAAAAAGATTTCTCTTTTAACTTTTCGGCTTCACTTGCCCTCATTATCTGTTTATCTATAGCAAAGCTCGTGTGACCCAGAACACAGCGTTTTTATTTTGAGGGCCGTTTGTTCTGCTTTTTGTCGGAGTTTTTGAGGGTCTCAAGTACCCCAGACTGGCCTTGAACTCACTATGAAGCCTAGGCTAGCCTTTACTCCTCATACTCTGTCTCAACCTCTCAAGTGCTAAGATGGTGACAGGTATGTGCCGCTTTGCCTGGCTACAAGAAGTTAAGAAAATGCCTAGGCCTGAGGAGATGACTCAGCTGTTAAGAGTACTGGTACTCTTGGAGAGGACCCAGGTTCGGTTTCCATCATCTGAATGGAGACTAACTGATAGGTAGAGAATGGGCGGGAGCGAGCGGCGCGGATGGAGAGCGCGAGTGGATGGATGAAGCATGGAGGCTCAGATGGAATTCTCAGCGGGATATAAATTTATTTCGCACAGGGAACCTTTCCCTCGAGAAGGGAAAGATGTCCAGGAAGGGAAAGATGGAAGGGAAGGGAAGGGAGAAGGGAGAAGGGGGAGGGAAGGGAAGGGAAGGGAGAAGGGGGAAGGGGGAAGGGGGAAGGGAAGGAAGTCAGGGAAAGATGTCCAGGAAAGATGTCCGCTCATGGGTTGTGAGCTGGGACTTTACATATGGGGGCTTTAGGGTGTGGAATCAGGGAGGGGGAAGCAGGTAGGATTAGGGTGTGGAAGTGTTTTCTTTTTCCTCTTAAGATAAGAGGAACTCTATCTTATATTTGGAGGTCAGAGGAAAGGCAGACTGCTTCTCAGCAGAGTTTGTAGGTCCCTGTTGGGGAGGGGGTGGAGCTGCTATTTGGAACCCTAACACTAACAACTGTCTCAACTCCTGACATTGCACAAAACAGTTGCACTTACATGTGATGGATCAGGCAAAACACTTATACACATAAAATAAAAAAAAGAAAGAATAATAATAAAACTAAGGCACAGAGCTGGGCATGGCAACTTACCCGTGCGTAGTCCTAGCACTTGGGAGGCAGAGGCAGGCATATAAAATAAAATTTTTAAAAACTAAGGCACGGTGGCACATGCCTTGAATCCCACCACTCAAGAGGCAGAGTTAGGTGGATCTCTGTGAAATGGAGACCAGCCTGGTCTACATAGTAAGTCCCAGGCCAGCTGGGACTACAGGAAGACACGGTCTCAAAAAACCAAAACTAAAACCAAACCAAAACAGGCATTGCATGACATAGAGCACATACATGCAGGCAAAACATTCATACACATACAATAAAAATAAAAAATTTTTAAAAGGAAGTTAATACTTATGACCTCACCAAGTGTCGTGGCACATGTCTTTAATCCCAGCACTCAGGAGGCAGAGGCGGGGATCTCTATGAGTTCAAGGTCAGCCTGGTCTACATAGTGAGTTCCAGGCCAGCTAGGGCTACAGGGAGACCCTGTCTCAAAGAGACTGAAAAAACAAAAACTAAAACAAAAACCTCCCTAGTCACTTTCTTTTGTTTTGTTTTGTTTTGTAAGCTTCTACAGTTTTATTAGAATTTTAAAGAAAAAGAAATCCTCAGGGCAGGTGAGCTAGTGATCTTGACAGCTGCCTTGAGGAGGTAAATGGTAGGAAGAAAGAAAGACAGACAGGAGGTTTAGAGCCTGTGTGTGAGGTCAGACACATGGCTGACTGGCAGCCACATGGCTGGGAGAAGGAAGTTTTAGAGAAAGTTAAAAAAAAAAGCAAGATGCTAGGGGCAGCCCAAAACCTTAAAGAAAGCATATTAGTAAGAAAAACATGAAGAAGAAAAAGAGAAATTAAAGTTCCATTGAAGAATTCAGGGAAGTGAGCAACTCACAGACTACATGCCTAGCCACTGTTTTTTAAATGTTGTTTTTTTAATTTTTTTTTTAACTCAGCTTATATCATGTGTATGTCTTTCCTCCCAAGTGTTGGGATTAAAGGTGTGTACTACCAAGCCTGGCACTGTTTATTTGTTTGTTTTTTTTTTAATTAGAAGAAGCATTTCATTACAACAGCATTAACCTATTCAATAACATTTTTCTGAGCTAGGGTACATCTCTTTCAAAATTGGCTGTACATTTCTAGGTTTACAGATGAATTATTACCCTTATATAATCTTTTACTCATTATAAACTCTATAAGACATAAAATTAAATGAGGTTCCAACGTTTAAAAAAGATCTCCAC